CTCTATTTGGATTGTAATAGAACTACACTTTCCCTCAAAAGAGGGTAAAGTTTTAATTCGCTGCTATTTTATTAATTCGGCTGGCTCCTGAAAATCCCGAAAACCTCTTTTAGCAAATTTGACTAAAGAATAAACCATAACTGAGATGACTATTTCACTTAAAGTCAAAACAAAGCCATATAATACTACATGATATTGTCACATTGGTAACAGTGTATTCGTTACCTGCTGTATTTTGTTCTGAGAAAAGAATATCCTTTCCTGATTGTCGTATCCCACTAGAACCACGTTTCAACAAACCTACATAAGAAATAAATACCTCAATAATCTTACTAGTTTTGGAACAATGAATGAATTAAAAATTAAGAATTATGAATGCTAACTTTTCTCAAAGGACTGGAACGTGAGTTACCAGAAATGCTGTTAAGTACAATTATTGTATAATCATGACTCGATTGTTATTATAGTTATTAGAAAAGGTATTAATTATCATATTACTATTACATTACTACTATTACTATTAACCTGCAGATTTTAGCATACTGTGTTTTTGAAGAATTGCTCGCGTTTTCGGTGTCGTACCACTTGGTAGATGAATGTGATAAATATCATCACGGTCTGGTGCCCTTGATGTAGGTTTCTTTTCTGAAATTTCTATAAGCCTTAAGTTTCTTAAAAAATGTTTAAAAAACAGAGGCAGATTACTTCACCAAATTTAATCAAACAACTTAAACATAGCTCACTTTAAGACATTAACCATTATTTCATCAAAGAAGAAACCTTTTGTAGCGACTATACTGTTTGATTCCATTGCTGACGAGTTGCAACCTATTCTTTCATTCTGAGATGACTTCAACTTCCGAATATGTTGCAAAATAGCGATCTAAATGTTTTCAGAGCCAAATCATACACGATTGCATAAGTAAGCTAAAATGTGGCTGTTTGCACACGACTGCATGACAAGTGCAATATGATAAAATAATTCAGCAAAATTGGCATATCAAAAATTCCAATAAGTTCAGCATTAAGAAAGCATTTTAATCCTACCTGATCACCGACTGTTACAACGCCGAGCTCAGTGAGCACCGACTTATCCAGTACATCTAACATTGTGAATTGCATTCGCTGCGCAGCAAAGGTTTTCGAGTACTTCAGTGCAATAATACTTGGTATACCAGCAGCAACGAAAAAACGTTGCCACTTTAAAGCTAAAATTTCGGCAATTAAAAAACAGCAAAAACAGAAATTGAAAGAAATGAAAGGGGTTTTGCAAAAGGGATTTACGAATTTAGTGGTAAAATAATAAAGATGAGCATGCTAAACCTCCTTTGCAAAAAATACGTGTAGTCGTATTAACATGCTTGGTAATCAATCTTGTCAGTACTAAGCGATAAGATACAACTACTGAATCATCAAGACTATAGCAATAATTAACATTCACTGATTATTGTATTTCAACAACTAAGAGGGAATATCGCTCTGAAATGAGAAATGGAAGGAACTACGGAATTATGAATAAGAATAAAACGGTTACATTCACCAGCACCCAACAAACCTAGAAATTATAACTGAAAAATTTTAAAATAAAACCAACCTTCCGTATTTGATGCCATAGTAATTGTCTGTAATATCTATTTCATCAACCTCATTTCAAGTGGACAAAATTAGCAAATGGTTGAATAACTGAAACGAAAGTACCGTCAGAAACAAATGCACTCTTTAAGTCAAAAAAATAGGTACGACAGAAAACTACCACTTAATCGTGAAAAGTACTAAAGAAAAAGTAATCTTAGCATAATAAAATTCGTAAAGAAAAAGAATTGGTTTTATTATCGTCTATTTACAAATAAAAATTAACACTGATTATTACAATCTATAAATAGTATCCATGGTACATATATAATCACTAAATACAATAAAAACGGTAGCGATGACATTCTTCACGTGAGAAAATCGATTGGTAGAAAACAGACTTAAAAATCTAATTTGTTCTGCACAGTTTATAATGATGTAAGTAAGCCATGTAATTAGCATATCAGTATCCTTCCTACTAATATGGTGCATAATCTCCATCATCGTATTCATGCATGTTACATAAATGGCACATGTAACAGAAATCAAAAACAAAGAATAACAACGTATATCAACAGTTCTAATTTTAAAATTGTATTGCAATATAAACTATTCAAAATTATTCATCTGGCACTCTGATCAAATTTGAGGATCATTTTTGTCTTAAGCATGAATTTAGTAATCAAAATGTTGACAGCCGAGTGAACAAAGAATGAAAAGGAAAAATGAACTTCTGCATAAATATAATCTTTACTTGCTAGAGATAAAAATTTGAGAACGGCATGAAAGAAATAATTTCAATTCCCAGGATAATATTTCACAAAAGGCTCAAAGAAAAAATGCCAGCAAACCATCATTTGAATAATTTTTAATATCTATCCAATGATCACTACTAACCATGATAAATATTGATCATACTAACCAGCTTACCAAAGATGTTCTGTTTAAAGGAGAGCATTTTCAATTTACACTTATCTAGCCAAGTTTTTCTTGGGTTTCAGTAATGATGAAGCATGTAACTCGATATCTGAAAATTCAATCGACGGCCTCTTCAAAAGTCCTTTGCGATATGCCACTAATTTTACTTTATTGAAAAGCCTGGCAAAGATTCCGCCATGGGTTGAGTCTGCTCCAGGTGGTTTTAATTCCAGGCCTAACATGAAACGTCCTTCCGCTGAATTCATCTTCCTTAACTGTTTAAGCGACAAAGCCAGAGCACCTGCTTTGTAATTACAGGGGAAATTGCGCAAATGGCTATTCGAAACAAGCTGTTCCAAACCTAAAACCATTTTAGCATCAGTGAATTATGTAAAAACAAAAAAGAGAAATCATTAATACGCCTCGATTCTTTTGTCCATTGTACCTTTAATTTATAGTTCCTTGTTTTTAGAACTTTTCACCTGTTGGAAAAGATAAAATTTCATCAAAAAAGTTTCAATAATCAGATGATCATGAAGATAAGCACAGTGTAAACCATTTTCTTAGTGCTTTCATATGAAATAACAATTAAAGCTTTAATACACTTCAAAATTATAACGCGCTAAATTTAATACTAGTAATGTCGAAATTTTTTATCCCACTCACTTGACTTAATTTTGAAGAAGACGGCATATAATTTCAACAAAACTCCACAATTTTCAAATTATCACTTTCAAAATAATTTCGTTATAATTCTTTCTAAATATAAAGTGCCTTTATTATTTCTTAGTAACTTGAAAAAAAAAAAAACATACTTTCAAAACGTTTCTCACAAAGTTCATTCTGAAATACATTCTGCTCTTTTCGAAATATACGTTCTATTTCATTTTTCAGGAATACCGATGCATCTCGACTCCCTGGCTGCAAAGTTTCCGGACTTTGTGGCCAACGTGAAGCCAACCGAAGGAAACGTTTATAAAATTTCGACGCCATCTGAAATAAAGGTTACGCCCATACACCAGTATCGTGTAATTAATCTGAGCATATCCGTAAAATTTATTAAAACTATCTCGTCTTCGCTTCAACCGTTGAAAAAATCATTATTTGCAAACTAGCCAAATTATCACGACAAAATCGCCATATTTAATTTAGAGTACGATTGTTTTGACCAATAAAAATAACAATTATCTACTATTCACAGTGATCTATGATTATGAAGAATTCCTGACCATGATTTATAAAAATTTATAATGACCGGTTTTCAGCTATTATCAATGGCAACAACTATTTATGCTGAAGTGAAGAGCAATCTAAAAAATAATAAAGTAAAAACAATGAATTAATTACATACCTAAAAACTCAAAACGCAAACGAACAAATCCTCGATGATATTTATCTTTTTTTTCGATGATAAAGGTGGATTCATATTTTACTCTCATCAATCAGGTATATCACTCTCTTAGAACATGGTCTAGGAACTCGAATTTCGTTGCATACAGACGACGTGCAACATTTTAGGGAATATCATGATTCCAATCGGATGGACTTTATGAAAGAGGGTGAAGATAGGTAATTTGACATGGTGAAGTAGGAAAGTTGATATTGAATTACATTATTTTAGGAGAGGAATCAAAGACTAAGTAAGTTGTAAAAAGTAGTATTACGATACAGTGGGAAAAATGTGAAAATAGTTAAGTTGCAACTGATGTAATCATTAAGAGCATTTTAATGTTAGAGAAACAATCGAAGAAACGTTAATTTTATAACTGAATATTGATCCAGCATAGTTTTTTTTAAGTAAATTGAATCTATAATCATTTAAATTAATTTAAAAATTACCATTTAAATTGATTTAAAAATTACGTGTGTTTTTTAAATAAATGGAATTTAACAATCGATAATCAATAACGTGTATAAATTAATTAAAAAAATTTTCCTTAATTTTTATCAAATTCTCTCAAAATTTAAATCTGAACTTATCGATTTGATCGTTGAGTAATTATGAGGGAATGATAAATTCCTTTATTTATTATCATCTGCTATTAAATTAAAGTGTTATATATTTGATTAAAAGTTGATAGTTTTCAAAGGAATTTTGAGGATAACGAATTATGAGTATTTGAGGATAATAAAGAATCAAGTATTGGAAAATACTTGACCGGATTTTTAGGTTTATTAAACATAATTGACCGGATTTTTAGGTTTATTAAACATAATTGACCGGATTTTTAGGTTTATTAAACATAATTGACCGGATTTTTAAATTTGTTAAACATAATTGACTGGATTTTTAGATATTTAGGCATAAAACTAGAAAAAAAATAAACAATATTATAACTAATGTGGAATCATATTAAAAAATCAATATTATGTGGAAAAGAATGCTTGTATTTGTTTGTTTATTTTTTTCCTTTTATCATTTTTAAAATGCTAAAAAATCGAAGAACAAAATAAATAAATTTATTTTGACAAATCACTTTCTCATTTCTTTCCTTTATCATTTCAGGATTGATAACACAGAAAATCTCATGCTCGGTATACGAATCCGGTATATAATATAACATTTTTATTCAATTAGAACTTTGTTGAATAATTTTATCAGTAAGTATTATCATACAATTAACTACAAAATAAACAAGAGAGAAGAAAAGTAGAACGAGAAGTTATAAGACTTACTCTATTATTACTAACTTAAAGCACTTGGTGACATAAAAACCGTGGTATTGATTAATGCACTTTCAACTATTGGTGAAAGCATGTAAGGACTAAAAAGTAGGGCAGAGAAATATTGAGGTGAATAAACAATTGGTGATAATATAAATGGACTGAAAACGAGCGGTGAGAAAGACATAGGATTTAGTAATAGTGGATTTAATATCATTGGTGATAATATTACTGGAGTAGCTACTTGAGGTGATAGTATAAATGGTGATAAAGCTAATGGTGATACAATTATTGGATTAAATATGCCAGGAGAAAGAATTAGTGGATGTAATGCTAGAGGAGATAATACTAAAGGAGAAAAAATAGAGGGACTGAGGATGAATGGAGCAAGAATACGAGGTGATAAGATTACCGGATTGAATACCGATGGACTTAGGATAAGTGGACCAAGAATTGCTGGACTTAAGATTACAGGTGATAAGATTAGAGGCGAAAGTAATACTGGTTGTGATAAGGCTTGTGATACTAATATTAATGGTGATAGTAGGAAAGGTGAAGAGGTGATACCAAAGCGTTTATCTCGTCGATGTGATGATTCTCCTATATGTAAGCCAAAATTTTTTGATTTTGCTAATTTCTTTAAATCATTTTCAAGTGCTTTCTGTATTCCATCATTTTGTTCCAATAATTTTGACAATCTTTTCAGGGCAATCGGATGAAAATACGGTGATCGTTGACCATAAATGAGTTTTAGCTGCCTTTTGGTTAATACTGCATAACCGGTAACATTCATTTTTCGAATCTGCAACATTTTTTATATCTTAATTAATACATCATTTGTATTATCAATAGTGTAACATTAACAACGATTTAAAATGATGTTAGAAAGGGAAAGTATACAGATCATGATTGAGAAATAATCTGAAATCTCTTGTTTAATAATTGAAATTGATGATATTTAAATTGAATTGCAATACTACAAATTTAAAAAAAATATTAAATGCTATAAATACGTGATATGTGTAACAAAGTGATTATATCATTTTAAGTGTTACATAAATATATTGTGAGTTAATTTTTGTGAAGATTGATATTCGAAAAATGAACGAATGTAAAAAAGCAAATCGGATTATAATATCCTTTTACTGCAGTATGGGATTAGAATCATTTCGGAATGTGAATCTTTTATTGAGATTGTTTTCGCTTTTATTTTAATCCCAACTTAAATCTCATTTATATATAATTTGNTGTAAAAAAGCAAATCGGATTATAATATCCTTTTACTGCAGTATGGGATTAGAATCATTTCGGAATGTGAATCTTTTATTGAGATTGTTTTCGCTTTTATTTTAATCCCAACTTAAATCTCATTTATATATAATTTGAAATTTAAATTAAAAGATGAACTTGGAGTTTGCTTAATGTCTTGTAGAGCTTTTCGAACGTATCGACTTTATCGCTTTCTATTTTGCCGTATAATTCACTGACATTTTGTTTCGTGAAATACAACGGTTGTCCATCAATGCCTTTAGCGTAACGTACATTATTTTCTTTTTCAAATTTTTTCTAAAATGTCGAGTTTTCGATTGAAATTTAAATATATAAGATGTATTAATTCAATTTAAATTTTAATTTTAGCATGTAAATGCTAATTAATTACAATTAGTTTTGATTAATTTTGTTAATTTAAATTTACTTAATTCAATTTAAATTTTAACATCGTTAGCATTAATATGCTAAAATTTGATTACTCAAAATTGGATTGCGTATATTTTTTTCCAAATTTTGAATTTAGAATTTAGTACAATTTATTCATTTAATTATGCAACGATCACCACTCTCTAATTGAGCTGAACCCAAAAAATGAAATTAAAATGTATCGTATTTGATGTGATTATGCACTACATAAATACGACAAACTGCATTTTCTCTTTCGTTTAATTAAAATTGCAATTTCAATTGATAATTAAAAATTTCGCTTAAAATATAAGATATGTACAAACATGAATTTGTTGTATAGTGTCAGTAAGTCCTGAAACTTCGGAAATCAATTCGAGCAATTCATTTCGATCATGTTCATTTATCAATTTCAATGCACCAAATAATCCTGTCATACTCAATTTGCGTTCCAAATTTTCACCTTCATTATGTAAACTTAAAATTGATGGTGAAAATAGATTCATCTGAAATGAACGTTGCTAATTTCATGCTTACATTTCAACTCAGAATTTTCACAAAATTTAACAATATTTCTATAATGGAACTTTCTGCTACAGTTTCTCTCAATGCAATATTGAAGTTACAAATTAACGGATACGGTTGATTAGATGGCAGAGTTGAAATGGTGGAAAATCAAATCATGAAAATCTACTTGAGCCACAATTCGCAACTTTTTAATAATTAACACATAGCGTAAAAATTAGAGTAAACTAATTAATGGTTATTGTTTAATGTGATTGCATAAAAATTAGAGTAAACTAATTAATTAATGCGATAAGAATAAAATTGAAATAAATTAAATTCAATTTTTCACGACCAATGGAAATTATTTGGAAAAGTACAAGATAATGATAATGAAATTTGAATGAAGAGAAATGAAAACATACTATATTTTGTGTTTCATTATAGGGTAAGATGGAAAAAAATCTTGGTGATGCTATTCGAATTGTTTTATTATGCAAATTGGAAATATTTTGTTTTGACATTGCAGCTGTAAGTAATGCAGCATTACGAAGTAATTTTGATAGTGATGTAGCTAATTGCATTGGACTATCACGTGGTATTTTCTTCTTCATTGGATCCATTAATGTATTCTTTAAATTAATACCCTAAAATGGATTCATTATTTCAGCAATTGTTTTTTGATTTGTATTAATTGTTTACAAAAAAGAAATTTGAAAAACAAACATTATTTTGAATTTCAATACCAAATATCTTCAATAATTTCTCTCGCTCTTTTAATTGCAATGCTAAATGCTGTATATCAGCTAATGTTGCCGACCATCTGAAAGATGAAAGGTTTGAAAAGGGAATTAATTGTCAAATAATTAAGCTCTTTTAATTGTAAAACTAAATGCTACACATCAGCTAATGTTGCCGACCATCTGAAATGTGAAGGTTGAAAAGGGAATTAATTGTCAAATAATCTTTTAATGATTCATTTCAAGATATTTTATGAATAATTTTAAATGGGCGAATAGTTTCGTTGAAATTTAAATGTATTTGAGGAATTCAACGAATAGGTTGGAAATTTAAAAATCAAAGAATTGATTGAAATTTTTTCAAACTTTTTTTAAACTTACGGTTTAGAAGTTTTTCGATGTTTCAATTTTTGAAGAATGTTTTTTATTCCACCTATAATCATTCCAAAAATCGTCTTTGTTTCTTTATCAGTTAGCAACTTGTATGAATTTTTATCAACTCTTTTAATTTCCCATTTCTTTTTCTCCGTTAATCGTTTATGACGCCGAAGCATGCGAAATCCACCTATCCAATAATCAACTTTCGGCATATATTTTCGATTCGAATATTTCGTTGCATCCGGTTTGTGTAATTTAATTTTTGGAGTAGAATGATATTTCAGCTTTTCATACCTTCGTTTTGTATTTCCGACTTTACGTATTCTGACTGAAAATAAATAGGAATTTATTACAAAAAAAATCGGTATTATTTTATTGATCCTTCTCACTATCTAGTTGGCTTCAAGTTAAATTGAATCAAACCAAATGTTCCAGTAAGCTTCAAATTTTAGTCTCAAAAATAATTTCTATGATATTACATTTATCATTTTTTTATGGCATGAAACTCTAGGATACATAAATTCACTCGATCATTCATAGTAAAACTTCTCAAAAAGTTTCTAAGATTTTGTGGAAACTTTGAAAATGAAAAACTTTGTTGCGGTTTTTCCAACATCAGCAAATCCACAACACATTTTGCATGTTTGGCAATTGAATTTGCTTCATTGGAACAGTGATGAAATTTTTCACCATTTCGAGAGCTCAATGTCTTTATCCTAGAAATTGTAGAAAGCAATCAAATTATTCAAATTCACAAAGTTTTGAAATCTTTTGAAATCCGAATAGCTAATAATACAATTTTGATATGAATGCTGTTTGCAAAGTTATACGTAGAAATTTAGCTCTAATTCTGTTTGCATCAAATGTAAACATCAATTGACAGCTATAGAAACTATCATCAAATTTCGATTGACTAATATTACTGAAATGGCATATCATTTGATACGAAGTTTTCAAGAAGATGTTAAATATTATGTAATTAAAATAATGCAAAAGTTGTAATTTAAATTAACCTTTTGCTAGCAAAAGCAGCTATAAAGCCACTAGTAGCTTGATGAATCCAATGATTTAACAATTGAATGCTAGCATTTTTCGAAAGTGGCAACAGAATTTTAGTACCATCATAAAAATATTTTCTAAGCATATAGCTTGTTGCATTTTCAGAATTTTCCAATGATATCGATTTATGAAGCAAAATTAGGAGAACAACAATGATATACATCAGGATACTCTATATATTAATAACTGTTATTATAGTAACACTTGGATTATTTCAAGTTTTTTACTTCTCAATAATTTACAGCGTTTATTCAAAAAATTATCAGAACTTAATTGTTAAGAATATTAATTATAGAAGTGTAACTATATCACAAACATAACTATATCATAATCATTGTATTCAACTATATCATTGTAATCACTATATCACTATATCATTGTAATTACAGTCATTGTAATCATAGTAATCAAAGTGAAATATTTGAAAGTTTTCATGTTAGCCTCCTAAATACTATAAAATATTTGAATAATTAGCCTAAATTTCTTGCTTAAAATATTTGATGTTATGCAAATGGATGAGTACGAATAATAATAAAAGATCGAAGAATGACATACCGTTATGTGCGGATGAATAATCTAAAATCAGGTTAGTACAAAACAAAATCATATTGCCTTTAATATGATGTTGTTTTGCACTAACCTGATTTTATAATCTGCATTCCTAAAGTGAAGATGTAAACGGTTCCATCAATGTCAAATGATAATGTACACCAAATAAAACTACTTCCATTTCCTGAATGACCCATTAATAATTATTGCATGAAAACTATGAATTATCGGGTGCAATGCATTTTTTTTTTTCAAATTCTTTTAACTAATTAAATCATTGCATTGTTTAAAATATACGTATAATTAATTTTTATCTTTCAAGATTTTATTTAGAATTCATATAAACGATTGGTAACATAAAATTTAAATAATTTTTAGAAATTAAATGCCGTTAAAATTATTTCCAGCAGTGATCTTGATAATATAATTTTATATTGTGTTTATTTTACAAAGTTATTTCATTCGAAACTATTCCTGCTATTAAATTTAAGTTTGAATAATAAGGGTAGAAAATATGAAGCAAAAATTGAGTATATCAGAATCAGTATTTCCAAATGTTCTGAATTTATTAGCATCGTTTCTTTAATTCACATCTGATCGAAATTTCTAATTTTCTTTGTACATACTAAAATTTTAATCAAATAAAATCGGTACGAGATAAAAATCACTTTTGAATTAACTCATATGAAATACATTTAAATCAATTTCATTGAAGCATTAGGATCAGCTGGAACTTAAAAAAAAACTTAAATAAATGAGGCCTATTTCATTCAACTTAAATAATGAAACTGATTTCATTCAGCTGGAGCCTAAATAAATGAAACTTCTAAATTTTCAATTTCTATTAAGCAATGTGTAAGTTTTAAAGGATGAAAATTCAAGTTAAACTAAGGAAAGAAGAAAAAGGAAAGTAAACTATGACAGTATGCATAATGTGAGTGAATAATCTTAATGACAGCATGCATAATGGATAATGGATAATCCTAACTATTTTCGAACTTCAAAAATAGCATAAAATCATAACGAATAAACTATGGGATATATATTTCATTCAAGCATTCGGATCAGTTGAAACATAAATAAATGAAATTTATAAACTACTCCGATATAATAAATTTAGCTGTAATAAGATCGAAAACAATAAATCATTCATATGGATTCTGAAACTTTTAGAAATTCGAATTGAAATTATCATAAAATTATATGATATTCACGATAATCATCATTGCATTTGCAACATTGTCCTTTCTCGTCAACTTTTATTTTCACTGATTTAACCAGGGTAATCCTTTACGATAATTTGATTGCCATATTATAAATTTCATATTACTCCGATCACTTATAAATTATAGAGAATGAAAGTGATTTGTCGTCATTATTTTCTTTGCCTTCACAAACATTATCACTAGTAATATCAGAACTAACGCAATCTTTCATCATTCATATTATGTAATATTTTGAAATGGCTTAGAGTGAATGAAATAGATGAAAATAATTTTTGCAGAAAAAATGAAGAATAATCATCTGAATGAGATACGTTAAATAGATTTACCGAGAAATCTCGTTGAAATTTGAATTGATAGAATCAAAAAAATCAAAGAGAATAATGTATATTCCATTTTTGATTTCTACTATATCAGATAGCAAATTCATTTGCAATTCCATGGCAACTAACATTCTCGGCTATTATTTTTTTTTAATGTGATTAAAATGGTTAACAATCAGTGTAATTAAAGTAGTTAAGTATCAGTAAGTTAATTAGCTATTCAATAAAATAGCATATGATTGGAATGATTTCTTTAATGAATTTAATTTGTATCGGTTTTTTTATTACTATTTCTTCGTATCATCGAGCAGCTTTTGATTAATTCTGTATGTAAATTTTGTAGATTCTCTGTGAATCAAATTATTCCATGGATTCATCGTAACATCGTAACTGTTCAACTTTTTTCCTTAATTATTTGTTATAAAACTTTGACAAGAAGAAATTTGATAAGAAAACGATGTCAACCGACCAAGAAAGTTTCCGAATATTTTTCATCTTTCTTCCCTTCTAATATCATTTTTATGGATTATTTATTTTAAGATTTTCACCTGCAGTAATTACTCATATCACAATCTACGACATCTATGTTTTCATAGGTTACGATATGAGTAATTAGTGGACAAAATGACAATTTTATCTCTATCTGGATAATAGATTTCCTCTCATTGATAACAAACTGTTTGACAACTAATAATCCATCTGCATATTTGCAAAAAAGGTAAGGATTACGGTGGGAGAATGCCTTCATATTGAGAATGATGTAATTGCTTTAGCAACAATAACAACTCATTCTAGTTTTGCCTAATTTCCGATTCATATCCAATTTTATTCTTAGCTATTTCATTTTAACAAATCAGTTAATTAATTTATTGATTAATTGATCAAGTAAGAAGGTAAATCAAATAGAAAAGAAGATTTCTTGTTAGCTATACTACTTTCATCCTCTTGGTCAAAATTTTTAAGATTTAATTTTATAATAATAATTAGCAAATTATGGACATCAAGAGGGAATGCTTAATGTAGTTATATCTTACGTCAATTTGAGTCATTTTGTGCATTTGCAAAATGTAGTTACACTTTTCGATACTATATAAATGAATTTGTTATAGAACTTCGCGCAGTGTAATAGCTAGCTATAGAGTTGAAGATTATGATAGAACTGGTAGAACTTTAATTTTAATTTATGAATTAATTTGAATTTAATTTAAAATTTTATTTTCAATTTTAATTTATGAATTTATTTGAATTTAATTTAAAATTTTAATTTATGATTTTATTTGAATTTATTTTTAAATTTAATTTCAATTTTAATTTACAAATTTATTTAAATTTAAATTTAATTTTAATTTAAAATTTTATTTAAATTTTAATTTAAAATTTTAATTTTAATTTATGAAATTATTTGAATTTAATTTAAAGTATTGTTGCAACTTTCAACTATGCAACTAATTCAAGAATTTTTCCACTTTAAATAATTGTGAGTGATAAGATAAGGAATGTTATCGGTACTTGTTAATCATCCAAAAACTATTTTACTTTTTCATTTTTTTAAATTTTCTTAGAAATAAATATTTCGGGAATCATTGTTGGACCAGCCATTAAAGCTTTTTTTAATATATTCATTAATTATTTGATATTAAAACATTAATCATATATAGAAAGTTTTTTCTAAAAAATGAGGTAAGCAAATTATTGGCAGACTTTATCAAATATACTTTAATAAACGATAATGGTTGAGATAAGCAAATTATTGGCAGACTTTATCAAATATACTTTAATAAATGATAATGGTTGAGATAAGCAAATTATTGGCAGACTTTATCAAATATACTTTAATAAATGATAATGGTTGAGATAAGCAAATTATTGGCAGACTTTATCAAATATACTTTAATAAATGATAATGGTTGAGATAAGCAAATTATTGGCAGACTTTATCAAATATACTTTAATAAATGATAATGGTTGAGATAAGCAAATTATTGGCAGACTTTATCAAATATACTTTAATAAATGATAATGGTTGAGATAAGCAAATTATTGACAGACTTTGTCAAATATATTTTAATTTCATGAAATTTTTGTTTGTGAAATAAATTATTAAAAAATAAGAATTACTTTTTCCTTCACTTTGAAAGAAGGAAAGTTTTATTATTCATATAATAATATCATAATATCATACAATATATCATATAATATCAAATAATAATATCATAATATCATACAATGTATCATACAACAATTTTTCGGAACTAACTCTTCTCTACAACTGATTTGATTCTCTCTAAATTAAATTTATTAAATCATTATTGCAGTAAAATTTATCAGTTCATAAATTACTATTTTCCACTATCAAATTTATTGCCCAATAAAAATTGATTTCATCAGACATTCATCGAATACGAAATTATTGCAAAACAATTTTAATTGATTTAAATTATTACTTCGAGAAAATTTTTGCAGAAGAATTTCATACTGAATTATACATTTTACATTTATTCCTCTATTCAGCATAATTATAAATTTAATTAAAACCTGAAAGCAAAAGAAATTGCTATTAGTTATTAGAATTTGGAAAAGATTTTTAGTCATTCAAATTAATTGCAGAATTTAATATGTACTATTAGCATTAATTTTTTATGCTAAACCATTTCATATCCCTTATTTATTTAAAATAATAATATACTTGAAAATATATTATTAAATTATTTACGAGATAATATATATACTGATAACATTAATTTTATGCTAAACAACTTCTTCATATCCTCTGTTTCTCGAATTTTTTAATATACTAGAAAATAGATTATTAAATTTTTTAGAAGATAGTATATACTGGTAACATTAATTTTTATATTAAACCACTTCTTGATTTCTCCTGTTAATCGAAATTATTAATATACTATTATATTATAGAAAATATATTATTAAATTTTTTAGGAGACAGAGATATACCGATAAACACTAATTTTTATCCTAAATCACTTCTTTATATTCTCTGCTTATCGAATATACTGATAACATTAATTATATTGATGGCATTAATTCTTGTACTAAACTACTTCTTTATATCCACGGTTTATCGAAATTATTAATATACTAGAAAATATATTATTAAATTTTTAGGATTTATCAAAAATATTTTGTAATAATTACGTAGCACTTTTGATTATACCATAATTATTCATATTATAAATTAATTTAATGCTTCTATTTTTTTGAAAATTTGTAACAAATGGTGATTTTCATTGCTGTTCTATTAACCATTAATGATATTAACTTCATAATTTAACTTCGTAGAAATATGACAATTTCAATATTTCATTGCATTATGGTTGCTACGCGCTATCACTTATACTTCATCACATAAAATCGCCTATAATACAATTATTAACTTTTTCCCGATCCAGGTTAACTCATTTTTACTTTTTGTTTTTTTTTTCACAAAATAATTTCAGCATTTGCTATTGGCAATTTTTGCAATTTTGCTAAGGTAAATATTGAAGTAATAATTAATTTTGACGTTTAATGATTAATCAATTGTTTCTGATTTGATAAGAAACTTTTATTCCTGGCTGACGTAAGTTTATAATTTCATTCAAAAAGAAACTTACCGAAAATTTATTCATTCTCATTCGCCATCTAATTTATGATTATTTCATTCGATTCAGTTAAATTTGCAAGTTTGTCATTTTTTTGAAATTACCATTCATAGTTCTTTCATTGCAGTAATTATATTTATCGTTTAATTTTTCACTCTTTCTTTAATTTTAATTTTTTGACAAATAAATTCTTGCAGCACAATATCAACATCATTTTCTTATTCTTTTCTTAAATAAAATTTCAAATTTTTTCAAACAAAAAATGGCAAGAAATATTTTTATGTTAATTTTACAGAGCAATAATTTTAGGAAATTATAATTAAGAAATTATAATTTTAATTATATTCAAAATATTGCCAAAGAATGAGTTATATCTTTTTATTTCACTTTTTTTTAATGCTGAAAATAATACTTTTATTATATTTTATAATTAATAAATTTATACATATAATAACTATCATTCCATTTTTTAATGCTAAAAATAGTACTTTTATTACAATTTATAATTAATAAATTTATACATATAATAACTATTATTCCATTTTTTTTATGCTGCAAAATAATACTTTTACTATATTTTATAATTAATGAATTTATACATATAATAACTATGAAATTTATTTTAATCTTTTTTGCAGCATATAAAGAAAAGTGAAATGAGAAGAAATTGTAAGAGAAAGTGTTGTAAATCTGAAAGCTAAATTATATTATAAAAAAACAAAACAATGATTTGATTTTAGATTCCTTAAGTTATAAATTATATGAATCAAAATTATTTTCAATTTAAAAATTAAATTAAATGACTAGCCATTTATAATTTGAAATAGAATTTTATTTCATTATATCTTTCCCATTGATTTTAACAGAATCAAATTTCATAAATGCAGAAAGAAAATATTTGAAAGTTTATTAGCAATTCATTTCATTCAAAAGCATTAAGCAATTATTCGCATTATTTTCAATTCAATCCTTATCAATAAATATCAATTTAATTCATTTTCAAATGATAAGAAAGTATTTCATTTTATATGATATTGATAAAATTACATTATTTACATTAATATTACAATTAATTCATTATCACTTTAATTTTTATTATTATAGCGATTTGTTTTTTTTTCTTTGTAACTGACAATTTATTGATATTTTCAAATTAAATTTATTAATTTTTTAGCAATACTAATTAATTGTTGTCATTAAAAATTTATATTATAATTAAATTATCATTAAAAATTTATATTGAAATTAATAATTTACATTGAAATATACTGTTATAAATAATGACATGATAATTTTTTTCTATAAAAGAAAATTAACTAATAATACTTATTAATAAGAAAAATAAATAAGTAATTAATTTGTAATTAGGTAACTAATTTAAATAACTAACTTGTTTGAGTTTTATATATAAACGACTCATTCATTCTTATCTTTTTGCATTACTAATTATTAATTACGTATTACTCATCATATATTGATTATCTTTTTGCATTACTAATTATTAATTAAGTATTCCTTACCATATATTGATTATCTTTTTGCACTACTAATTATTCTTATCTTATCATTCAGTCATTTATTGCATTCGATTAAATTTAATTTTGTTGATAATTTGATATGTATTATTAATTAAGTACTCCTTATCTCCTTATCATATATTGACTATCTTTTTGCATTATTACTTATTAATTAAATATTCCTTATCATATCTTATCATTCAATCATTTATTGTATTCGATTAAAATTAATTTTATCCTTTAATTATGTTGATAATTTGATATTTAATAATTGAAATTAATTTCAGAAATCATTCCATAAATGCATCACAACACTGAACTTGCTTCCAATATATTTCTATTCTGTTTGAATGTTTTACAAATTCTATCAAATTTACTTGTATTATTAGCATATTTCACGGATCATCAACTTTTAAAGAATGAAAATATCATCCTTCTTGTTTCACTTGCTGCTATCGATCTTTTTTACTCTATGCTATCAATACCGTACTTAACCGTCTTATTTATCGGATGGGTTCCAAATGGTATGTTACTGTACATAGCTTGTATTATACAGTATACATTTATTAGCTTATATACGCTAGTGAATACTGTATAATGCAAGATTTCTCTTCATCTTTTCAATTTATTATTATATTTAAATTTACGGGAATATTTTTAAAATCTATCAGATTTTGTTGTTGTTGTCGTTGTTGTTGCTGTTGTTCTTGTTGTTGTTGTTGTTGCTGCTGCTGTTGTTTTTATTGTTGTTATTGCTAAGTTCGATTGAAATAATTCCTCCGTAATTAATTTCAATACGATCATATGCTAATTATTTTTAATACTTTTCAATAAAATAGACATAATAGATCATGTAATGATAAACAATTCTATATTTTCAAAAAATTATATTGAAACTATTACAATTACTTTTCAAATATATAAATTATATATTACACAAATTAAGTTTAATTAGAAGTGTTAGAAACTTAATTAGTAAAAACTTAAATTTTTTCAGATAAAGAATATCACTATAACGAGTATGTTATAATTGGTTTTGGTTCCGGTCCGGCATCATTGATGAAAAGCGGTTGTACAATAACAACTTTGATTGCAATAGATCGAATTTGGGCATTATGGTCACCAGTGAAATATTATTCACTGAAAAAAAAACCGTATATTTTTATGATAATAGTTTTTATATTAATAGTATAAATGATAACATATATTCGTGAATATCTCAGCATATAATCAATCTCATTCCTAATATTATCAACAGTATCAGGAATAATGTATGCAAAATTTTAACGGCAATAACAATTTTTATCTCTTCAAATTAATAATTCCGGAATAGCAATCATTCATATCGTTGTAAATCCGTAAAATATTTCATTTCAATAATAATCGTAAATAATTCATTAAAATTTTAGCATTTTATGCGCTGGTTTCGTATTTTCGCTTTTGATGGCAGCTTTTGATTGCTCGTTAATATTTATATTATCAGATGGTATTAAACCGGTACCTGATTGCAGCTCTTTTTCTTGTTTTGTTTCTGAGGTATATGATTAACCTTAATTAAGATAGAAAAGGTATATTAAGGTGAAAAGAAATAATATAAATTGTAATCTGATTACAATTTATATTATCAGTTTGAAGTTTTTGTTTGAACTAATTAAGGAAATAATTTATGAGTTGTTGCAAGAAGAACGTAAAAGTAAACTAATAATTTTATTTTATAAATATCCAAAAGAGATTTTCAGATGCTTCCTGATATTGGCTGATAATTTTTTTTTTGTTATCAACTGATATGATTAATGATATTTAAGACATTTCGTGTTTATTGGGGAATGTCTAATATGGTTTTCAATTTACTATCATGTTTATTGACTATTGTCATTGCAATATTGTTGAAAACGAAGAAAAAGCGTGAAACAAATATCAAAAATTCAATAGTTCGAAGAAAGGAAGATAAATGGGTTAGAAATTTTCCAAATAAAAAATTACAAAAATTGATCGAATAACTTTCCATGTAAATTAATTTTTATAATACTTAAATTTTATTTAAACGAACTTTATTAAAATATATCATACAAATTTTATTATAGGCAAGTCGTGCAACACTTTATAAATTTTATTACAGGTCGTGCAATACTCCATATTAAATTTTATTACAGGCAGGTCGTGCAACACTTTATATTCTCATCTTATCAGCAATATTTGGTGTTGTTCCGGGTGGAATAAACAGTGGTGCACGATTAATTCAATCAGATGTAAGTTTTTGAAATTGTAATTTAAGAAGTCATAAATTAAATTAACTGCTCAGTTATTAGTTATTCAGATAAGTATAATTAATGATTATAGCATGAAATTGCTGGGAAAAGAAGAAATGAATAGATGATGAATGTAATTAATGGAATCTAATATTACCATTTAGTAAAATCTAATTAGTAAAATCTCATATTATTACTTAGTAGAATCTACTATTACCATTAGCAAATTTTTCGTAATAAAACATGATACCATCGATAGGTACCACATTCAAATTATTTCCAGTTATCGCTCAATTATTTCAGTTCATTAATGCATTGGCATTTTACATTCAATTATGCGCATCGATCAGCGGACTAATGCATGCATTTATCTTTGGAATGGCTCATAATCTTATTCGACGCCGAATTCTTGCAATGTTAAAATTAAACAAATATTGTAAACAACAATCGCAAAGACCAAGCCAAAATTTCAGAATTTATCCAGTGACAACTTTAACTTAATTCGCGTAACATTTGTTTATTAAATTTTTTAATTGAAATTATTTCTGTTTTTTGATTATATTCGAATTTCCCATTTTAATATTATTCTATTGTTTCGTGATTTTAATAATGAGTTTTAATTAATTGTAAATGAAAAATGTTCAAATACTTTTTTTATAAACAACAGCAAACATCTAATTTAAAATTAGCAGAAGAATATTAATCAAAATGAAAATACTGAATTGAAATTTTATAAATTGTTAATGATTAAGAAATTTTGAAATTGATAATTATCAGAGTATAATATCTCTTCCTCTTCTCTTTAAACTATAAAATAGTTTGTATAAATGATTATTCAATCAATGGCTACTGCAACACAAATAGTGTAAATATTTTGAAAGAAATCAAACAAGCATTTCCGATATGCTTATTAATTAAACTTTAGATTCCATGAAACCTTCGATATTAGCTAAATAATCTATTTCAAGTTATTATTTTCAACGATAGTTGAAAAATCATTATGAATATAATTAAGAGTAAATAAATCCAATATTTATAAAGGTTTTGCAACTATCGCTGAAATTATTAACTTGAGATATGTTTATTAATTAAACCTAAGATTCTATAAAACCTTCGATATTAGCTAAATAATCTATCTCAAGTTAATAATTTTAGCGATAGTTGAAAAACCTTAATTATATAATTAAGAATGAATTAATAAATAAGCCCGACATGTTTATTAATTAAACTTTAGATTCCATAAAACCTTCGATATTAGCCAATTAATCTATTTCAAGTTATTACTTTCAGCGATAGTTGAAAAATTTTTATAAATATAATTAAGAATAAACAAATAAATGAATAAACATTTAACTATCTGTAAGGAAGAAAAACAAAAGAAAAGAAGAATAGACAAAATGCCCAATTAATTATTCGCAATTTTACTAATAATTAACATTTTTACATTTCTTCTTGCTAATTTAATTCCATTAAAAATTAAGTACATTTAAATTCATCGCAATCTTTTTGCTTACTTCAATTTTCATTAAAAATTAAAATACCGTTGTCTAATTCGTTTTGAAATTTCTCGTTGCATGCAAACTGCAAAATGATAAAATTTCATTATGATATAGCATATGGTATTGATTTATCTGAAATTTTTGCCTAAAATTTCTTTCATATATCGATTGATATGAATGATAATAATAAAAATGAATGAAAATAATTTTTAAAAATAAAAATTTGAAAGAAATAATTTTATATAATTAAAAAAGGAACTTCTATATGAATAATTAAAAAAGAAATTTCCATATACTAAGATATAAATAATAAATGAAATCATTTTAAAAATTATTTGCTTCTTAATTTCTACCAAAATTCAACGATACAATTTTCATAATTATATATTTGATTTTTGGCTGTTCCTATCAAAATTTTCTCTTCCACTATATTGCGTTCATTTTTGTAGTAAAAAGTTTAGTACAAAAAGAAATGATGAAATTTGATGAAAGGAAAAGAACGAAAATTATCGCCTAACACTGATACATTTGTGTGAATTAATTAGAAGTATCAAAATCATTGATTAATTCACTGATCCTATCAAAATTATTGATTAATTGATAAATGATAAAATTGTTAAAAGATATATGGCAATATACTAATCTATATGTGTGATTTAATTTGTTGTATGAATTTCTTTTCACATCAAAATCATTGATTGATTGATAAATGATAAAATTGTTAAAAGATAAATGCCAATATACTAATATATATATATGTGTGATTTAATCTGAAGTATCAATTTTTTTTCACATCCAATCATTGATTAATTGATAAATGATAAAACTGTTAAATGATAAATGGCAATATGCTAATATATTTGTATGATTTAATTTGAAGTATCAATTTTCTTTTTCTCACATCAAAATCATTGATTAATTGATAAATGATAAAATTGTTAAATGATAAATGGCAATACATCCAATTGTTACCACCTTTTTTTACTAATCAACTTTTCAAATTTCTTTAACTTTTTTCTTTGTTTTTATTTAATGCAATTTATTTGAGCAAAAATTTAACCTTTAAAAATTTTAATTTCTTTTTTAAATTTTAATATTATTTGAAGAAATAATTTTTCTGAGTAAAATTTGAGAAGAATTAAAAAAATTAGAAACAATTTATAGTTTTTGTCTGCATTGTTTTATTCTTATAATATAAAGAATTTACTCACTTATTTCAAAATTAAAAATTAATTAATAAAAAATTAATATTAGTATAATAAGAGAAATTGTAAGAGGAAATTTCGTAAGAGAAATTGATTTCTTGTATCAAATTCTGACAGCTAAACTCTTTAATTAAGGTGTAAAATTAAGCAAATTATTCTATGCTCTAGTATAATCTCTTAATTATTCTATGCTAGAATAATTTAGAGATTATAGTAGAGTATTAAATTTAGATAATTATATTATAGTAGAGATATTTTACTTCCTGAAATAAATGATGAAAGTAAGAATTTAATTATACAAGGATCTTTATTAGATTCTATTTTTAATATTATAATTAGTAAAAGCGTTAATTTGTGATAAAATTATAGGTTATACAAAGTAATTCAATTTATCTAATCAATATCATTCATAAATGATGAAAGCAAGAATTTAATTATACAAGAATCTCTATTAGATTCTATTTTTAATATTATAATTAGTAAATGCGTTAATTTGTGATGAAATTATAAGTTATACAAAAGCAATTTAATTTATCTAATCAGTATCGTTCATAGATGATAAAAGTAAGAATCTTTATTAGATTCTATTCTTAGAATTATAATTAGCAAATACGTTAATTTGTGATAAAATTATAAGTTATACAAAACTAATTCAATTTATCAACATATCATTGATAAAAGATTTATTCGTATACTTCCACCTAAATATTTGCATATTCTATTGTTGTTGCTTTTAGGACTGATAAAATGAATGTAACAATTTTATAACTAAAATTTCTTCATATAATTCATACTTCTTCATATGTTCATTGCAATACAACTGATTTTATTTATTATCAGTGATAAATATATTCATTTTTGATAACAATAATTATCATGAATAGAAATTCCCAATGAATTTATGTAATAATTTCTCTTTCAAAATTAAACAATAATATAAAATTTATATTTATTGGAAAATATAACAATTTTTGTCTAAACTAATTACTTAATATATTTTAATTAAAATTTGAATTGTTTACGAAATAAATTTTTACGTGATAAAATTTTTTCATGTATAATGAAATGTATGTTTGTAAATTTGATGGAATAAAATTTGTGCTTTTGCCAATGCATCACATAAATTATACACAGAGGTCAACATAATATAACACTAAAGAGAATAAAGGTCAATTTAGTAAAGTATTAAAGCTCAAAAAAAAACTAATTAATTGAAGTTGAAATGGTTGTGAAAAGAAAAAATCGGAAATCAATAACTCTTTTAACATTTATCTAAATTATCGATTTCCGATTTTATTTCTTTAAATATCCAGAAAATATGCAAGTACCATAATTTTTTTCTTATAAATTATCTTATTGCAATATTGTTAATTTCAGTATATATTATTTTATTTGTTTCTTTTTTTCAGGTCGCTACGATTTCCTGAAATTAAAAATTTAATTTTTTTAAAAAAACAATTGTGCTATTTTTATGCTTAGTTGCAAAATGAAATGATTTGTCAAGTATGAAAATGTATGTAATTCAGATGGATGAAATTTTTGCATTTCTTCAATTCTTTCAATTTCCGCTTTCTGATAATGAAATAAAATGAAATTTGAGCGAATAATATTTCTAGCATAGAAATTATATTTTCTATTCATAGTGCTTTCGCCATTAATGCAACAATATTAGAATGAATTATTGAAATGGATTTTTAAATTGTTTTTTCAGGAAAAATTTAGAAGGAAAGAAAAGTAATTTCAATGTGATAATAATAAAGTGAAATGGATTCATTTACTATTAATTTATATCTTTTCCTATCTTCTAATTATAAAATTTTAATTTCCTCAAATTTTAATTTCTTCCAATAAAAATTATTAATTTTATATTTCATTGATCTTTTTATTTTGTGTATTTAAAAGTTAGAAATTAATAAAAATCAATAGCTATTTTTAATATACAAAAAAAACTATTAATTAATAATTTCCCACTGCAAATAATTGCTAAAAATTAATTAACAAAAATTAATTCCAACTTCTTATTACATTCTAAGATTATAAATTAGGATTATATTAAGATTATAATCTGATAAAGTGATCATCCATTTTTCATAACTTATGATATTATCATTAGAAAAAACTATGAATTAAATTCGAGGTGTAAAAATATTTTAATTTTTAAATTGCTTAATTTATTCACTTTTCAAATGATACTTTAAAATTACTAATAGATATATGCTACAGGAAAATTATATTTAGCAGCTTTATTTTAGTAGCTAATAAAGATGGAAAATTAGACTCATTATTATTAATGATACCAATAATTAAGCTCATACTTGCTTTTTAATTAGAATAGAAATTTTCTAATATCTTTCTTATCAATAAATTTGAAAATAATTTTCTTTCTTTCTTGTTGCCAGAAATTTATAAAGAAATATTTTGATAAATTTGATAAACATCTTAGCCAATAACATTATAGCTTTCTTTTATGACCCAAATAATAGTGATAAAGTACCTATTATCATCCTGACAGATAACAAACATCTTTTTTGATCCAAATAATAGTACAAAGTACCTACTATCATCCTGACAGATCACAAACATCTTTTATGATCCAAATAATAGTAATAAAGTATCTATTATCATCCTTACAGATAATCAACGTATCATATCAATTCAAGAAGTGAAATAAATGTTACAAATGATTGTAAAATATACCACCAATAATTCTTTAGAGCATTTAAAATGATACGGTAATTTCGAAATGAAATTATTCTAATTTCATTAATTTATTTCATTATTTTATAATTTCATAAAT